ATCTCTGTATTTTAAGGTCTATTTTTTCTGCATAACTTTCTTGTCTCGAGTAGTTTGTTCTTCAAATCCTAGCTATAACCTTTTTTAAAGACATTTTTTAAGAAACTAAAAGAAAACATATTTTTTCTTACCCTTATTAAAGTTCTTGAGAATATTTGGGAAGTAGCATATAATCTGAATGTGTCTGAAATGAAGGATGCATTGGCAGGCATGATGAGAGATGATTTACACATGACTGAATTGTAGGTCATAAATTGTAGGTAGTAAAATTTGGTCCTAACTTTTAAATATTTGACAGTCATGTACTTTTTAGGATGTAGAGTATATAAATACATGTGTGCTATGCCAAAATAAATTATTTTAGAAATAATTCTGATACTGTTTATAAGAGGTCAATTAGAAGATTATTTCAAATACCAAATTGTGGCTAATAGAGATCTTTGTAAGAGCAATGATGAGCCTGATTAAGAGGTTTTGCTAAAATGGAATGAATGGAATATAAAGTGAGGAAAATTGAGAATAATAGTGAATAGAAAAAGTTGTTCTGTTAAGTATAATATCATGTTTGGCATGAAGGCGCATGAAGGTCAGTTTTGCACATTTTAAACATAAGGTGCTTATTGGGCAAATGGAGATTATCCTACAGATAGAATGTGGGCTCAGAGTTTAGGAAGACAGCTGTATCAGATATGAAAACTTGAAAGATAGGCCTAAAACTGATGATAATAGATGATGTGGGAGTGGATGATATTGTCAGGGGACCTTTGAAAAAGTTTGGGAAAATGCCAGCATTTTATAATGGGAAATAATAAAGGAAAAAACCTGACCAATATGAAAGGTGGTCAGATCGATGATAAAAGGAAACCAGAATAATAATCTACTTTAAGTTCACTCCTTTGTATACTTTCATGCAAAGGATGAATAGTAAAATTATGTAAAGACATGACATATGGAAGGAAAGATTAAATGTAATATTGTCTGTATTCATTTACATTCAGAGAGCCAAAATAGTCACTTTTGTCTTTTTACTGTGACTGAATTTCTTCTAGAAGAAAGTTTATTTATCTTATAATAAACTTCATTCTACAGTAATAAGTCTTAGGTTTTTCTTTTTTTAAAGCAGTAATCAAATACAGTTGAATTTTTAGTTCCCAGAATGCTTATTTTTTTTCTTTTGAGTTTCAGATTTTTTTATGGTCATGTTGTAATGTTGCATTATTTAGTTTATATAATGATTAAAACAGGAAAACAGAAAACTTGTAAAGTATAAAAAATTATTGCCTAAAATAACATTGGTTGAGGAATTTAGAACTGACTGTTTTTCTTGTTGGTAAATGGCAATTTTTGTTAGGGTGTCTTGAGGTACCTCTACTCAACTTCTAAATGCAAGTACACATAAGTGTACAACTGACAAGGAATATGTATTCGATTTTGAAGTGAAAATTCCTCATTTATACTTGGCTTTGAATAATATGCCATACATAGAAGTTACTATTGGTTTTTAATAAGAACATCTTCAAATTACATTATAAAGACTTTAAAAATAGACACAAGTTCATTATATCTTTACGAAACATTCTTGTATGGTTTTCTTTTGTCATGTTTTAAGGTCAGATGTGACTGTAATGTTCCACAAAGAGACAGAGATTGATAATCAGGAAAGAATAGCCCTTTAATGTGATTTATATCTATAGATTTTATGTCAGTTATGAAAAGTTGCTGTTCAAATTGTAAAGGAGGATCCATTAAAGAACACTTTAAACCATTTTACCATTTAGCTTTCCTTGAGCCCTTGTGTTTAGCATTATGCTTTTTCCTGCAAACTTTAATAGTGTAACAAATGGTATAAAATGTAATTGATGAAGTTAAATTATTCTAATATTAATAAAAGGTGGAAATAATAAGCTCTTCAGTAATGTCTTGGGTTACTTTTAGTACTGTTAATATGAAGGTATGTGGTATTTCATGGGAGTATAAAAACCAGTGATTTTCTAAATTCTATCAATAATTTGAATTCCCTCTAATCAGGTAGAGTTAGACAGTGGCAGATAGGGATATTGCAGAGAATGACGAAAGTATAAATTTCTTCAAAGATCAGTTTGCCATTTTGTATTATGCATTTTTGTGTATGGTTGGGCTAGATGTGAAGTAAACTATCGAGTGCTTTTTAGTTCTTGAATGAATATCTGAAAATATCACTTCAGTTGACAGTTTGTTACAATGGAATATCTCCCTAGTTATCTTCACTTAAACTACTTACTGTCCCTTTAGATTCTTAATAATTTTCTCTTAATTGCTCAAATTATATTTTTGACAAACTGAACTCTACTGTGGCTTGTTTGGCTCAATTTGTTTTAGATGGTGTATGACATTTGCCTTTAATTTCTTATAAATTAATCTAGTTCTTAATATGATTTATTTTCTCCACATGAATTTTTGGATTAAATAGCTTGCCTTTACCAGTATACATCTCTTAGAGGCTGTACTCAAGTACTCTCACAGAAGCTGCCCAAAATCTTCTAATTAACAATTTCTTGGAGCTAATAATATCCCCTAATTTTGCAGATGAGGACATCTAGAACTAAAGAGGTAAATGAGATATTAGCAAGGATGATACTGCAGTCTGGTTTTTGTTTTGATTCCCAATCTTAACTTTATTCACATCAACACACTATGATTCTTAGTGACTCTTTCTTGTCGTCATTTTGCAGTACAGAATTTCTTCAATCTGTTGCTTTTTCTACCTTTATTTTGTTCTTGGGTTAAACTATATTACATCTCCTCTCTCTGAAATTGATCCATGTTTGTCTGCCTTGCCTTTGCTTTAAAGGTTCTTTTAAATCCCACCTAAGAATAACCTTTCTCAGACTCCTTCATTATTAAATTCAACCTTTAAACACTTATAGCATAGTGTTTTGTACAACTAAGAAATTTGATTCCTTATGCTTTTATATATGTGCCTTGTCTGTTGGGTTTAAAAAGCCTCATAAAAAATCTAAAAGGACTTGGTGCAGTGGCTCATGCTTGTAATCACAGCACTTTGGGAGGCTGAGGTGGGAGGCTCACTTGAGCTCAGGTGTTCAAGACCAGCCTGGACAACATAGTGAGACCTCATCTCTACACAAACATAAAAAAATTAGCCAAGCGTGGTGGTGTGTCCTGTAGTACCCAGCTGCTTGGAAGTCTGAGCTCAGAAGGTCAAGACTGCAGTTAGTTGTTGCATGCCATTGCACTTCAGCCTGGGCAACAAAGTGAGACACTGCCTTAAAAAAAAAAAAACCTGCCTGAATGAAACGTAATTGTACACCTAACCCTTAACTGTACCCCACAAAACCATAATAAAAAATATTGATTAATAAAAAAAAGACAAAAAAACCAAAAAAAAAAAACCTAAAGGTAGTCTGATCATTAGGATTTGATCGACCCAGAAGTTCATGACTCTGTCTGGAGTAAGACCTATTTTTGTATAATTCTTATAGTTCTGCTGTCTTGGGTGTTGACTGTCTCCTCACTTAGCCAGCCTCTCTCATGGTACAGCGCTTTACCCTGGGCCAACAGCACTCCTGCAGTTCCGTGCTTCCTTTTTTTCACCCTGATAGCAAGGAGGAAAAACTTACTTTTCTGAATTTTGCCCTTAATGCACCAATTACATCAAGGGCCTTCCGTGAGCCAGTTTGTCATTGTGGGTGTGATTATTATTATGGTTAGTTGAGGACAGTCAGGACTCATCTTTGTTGCTGGGGTGGGTAGAGTGTGGCAATAATCTATCCAAACTGGTATACTGTAGAAGAGGCAGGCAACCACAGTGTGTATCACATCCATAAAACAATAATATTTGTTCCAACATCAAATTTATGTTATTTATCATCAGAGTGTGTGTGTGTGTGTGTGTGTGTGTGTGTGTGTACACGTATGTATGTATTTGTAAACTTTTATTTGGAAGTTAAGGGGGGAAGTCCAATAGACCCCATGAATAGAATATAAAGGATTGAGTTTGCATCAGTCTTTACATTTTCTTATTTTAGGCAATATATTAACTACAGCATCATAAACATGACACTACAATTGTCCAAATTCCAGAAGAAAAAAAATAAGCATTTTGGAAACCAGCCATTGCATTGCATCTATTTACAAAGAATACTAAGATTTTGGGGGGTAAAATTGGCAGTATCTAAGACAGTAGTTTTCAAACTTTAATGTTCATATAAATCACCTGGGGTAATCTTATTAACAACCAAATACCATCTTAGTGGGTTTAGAGTAGGAACTGAGATTCTGCATTTTTAATAGGCTCCCAGGTGGTTCCAGTGGTGTGATTCATTTTGTACAGTTGGGAGTCCAAATATCAAACTATTTCATGTTCTAAAGGTGTTGAGAACTAGCTTATTTTACCATTGTAGCCACTACTATTTCTTCCTGGGTCTTTGCAGTGGCCTCACAACTTACTTCCCCACTCCACTTTTCTTGACCTGCTACAATCCATTCTTTAAATAGCAGCTATTGTGACCATTTTATTACATTAAGTCCATCACATCACTCCACTGCTTAGAACCTTTCATTGGTATTCCATTACATTTGAATAAAATCTAGACTGCTTACCATAACCATGTAGTACAAATGATGTAGCCCCTGCCTACCTCTTAAAACTCATTCATACAGTTATTCCATTTATTCACTATGTCTCAAAGTCCTTTGCATCCTCACTGCATGCTCTTATGCTGGGCCCCCTTCATCGTAACATGACTGGCTTTTCCTCATTGTTCAGATCTCTGTTTACTGTTAACCCCTTTGAGTGTGTGTATTATGATTGTCTTCAGAGAAATATGGCCGACCTGGAGGGTGGTTGTACTGAGATCACTAAATCTTAGGTTAATGAGAGAATTAAAAGTAGCTTTAAAGTTCGGTTATTTTGATTAATGGTAAAGATGATTTTATAATGCATTTTAATTTTTTTCTATATTTTTATAGTATTAATAAATGTTTCTTTTTTCCTATCCAAGTCGCTGTGTGCCCAGTATTCTGCAGACAAACGAGAAGATGAGAAGATGTGTGATCATTTGATAAGAGCAGCAAAATATCGAGACCATGTGACAGCTACTCAACTAATCCAGAAAATTATCAACATTCTCACAGACAAGCATGGAGCCTGGGGAAATTCTACAGTAAGGTAAAAAGATATTTTTAGAATGTGGCCACTGATGTTTGGTAGATGGCCTAGGTTTAGATAAATGGCTTTGGATATGATCAAGGCCACATGATGGAAAGAGTAATTTAATTTTGTATTTTATCATCTACTATGAATTTAAAGCAACGGGAAAGGAGAAAATCACTATGAATACAGTATTTCAGCTCTCTCAACTAGTTCCAGAATATTTGCTCATATCTGTGTATTCATTTTAAAGTGAATTGTTAAAGAAGCAAACAGTGAAATAGTTAATGGAAACTATTTTACTAGCTACACTTGTAGCCAAATTTATACAAAGACAGTATTTTATTTAGAAGTAAAACTATTCCCTATTTTACACTTTTGAGTACTTTTCAATACTAATTCCCAATAAAATGAATTTGTAGAACTTAATGCTCTTTTTAGGTAGCTATGCAAAAAAAATGTAGTTGACAAAATGTGTGCTGGCTCACCATTCTTTGACAGTGGTTAACTGTTCTCTGATTTCCTGTGTTTTGAGTTTTTTGTTTTTTGTTTTTGAGTTGGAGTCTCACTCTGTCGCCCAGACTGGAGTGCAGTGGCCGCTCCCGGCCACCGCAGCCTCAACCTGCTGGGCTCCGGCGATCCTTCCGCCTCAGCCTTCCAAGTAGCTGGAACTACAGACGCGTGTTACCATGCCCGGGTAATTTTTTTTTTTTTTTATTTATGCAGAGATGTGGTCTCGCTAAGTTGCCTAGGTGGGTCTTGAACCCACAGGCTCAGGCAATCCACTCACCTCAGCCTCCCAAAGGTGCGGGATTACAGGCTGAGCCACTGAGCCCGGCTTGTTTTGAGTTTTTAACACACAAATTTGAAAATATACCAACATTTTTATTTTCTTGAATTTGGCACCGAGCCCAGCTTGTTTTGAGTTTTTACCACACAAATTTGAAAATATAACAACATTTTTGTTTACTTGAATTAGGCTGTAAATTGCAGGACTGTGATGATAAACCTCGTTAAGTGCCTTCTTTAAAATGTTACTCACTACATCTACCTTTTGTTAGCCTAAACATGCTCTTTTTGAAACTACTTTTTAGAAACAAAATAATAAAATTACCTTTTAGGACTAAGGAACTAAGACAAATTAACAATTTATTCTTCATGGAGTATTTTATGCTACAATTCTTAGTAACATGTTTTGACTCTTTTAAGTTAATGAAAAAAAATTTACATTCTCTCATTAGAATAAATTATATTTTAATTCTTCATTTCTGTATAACTTTTTTAAGAAAACAACAAGACCAAAAATAGTAAGTCACTTGTATATTATGTAGGAGTGTAATTTGCTTCCACTTTTTTATATGTCCAGCAGACATCAAAATGTAATTTTAGAAATTTTCTAATGAAAATAAAATAATTTTAATATTTGGAAAGGTAAACTTTAAAAATTTGCATTGAAAGGTACTTGTAATAAGATGTTCTTGTTTAAGTACAGGTATTCAGTAATATAGAGTAGGTATATCTCATGCTGTTTATTACAAAGAATAGTTACATATTATGAGTTATGTTTCTGGGTATATAATATTTAGCATTCAAAGGAAGAAAGGCATGCCAAGATCTTGAGAACAAAAGGATGGCATGCAGGAAGAAACCATGTTCGGTTGTTTATTTGTTTTAATCCTATTCCAGTTGATCTCAGGTGCAAGAGCAGTTATGGAAATAACATGTATTCCTGGGTCAGTGATCTCTGGTGCCTTATTTTGCAACATCTAAAAGCCCAAGGGGTGTAGAAGAGTTGTGTTGATGGTTTTAGAGTTTCAAAGTGCTTTAATGTTACAGATTTGATGTGGTTATTTTGGCATTAGATACTGAATAAATTAGGATATTACTTTGTTGCATAGTGCCTGGTGCATAGTGGGAACTCAATATATATTTGTTGAATTTTTTCCGATAAAGTTAATTTTTTGCCAAAAAGAATTTTACAATTTTTAAATAAAAAACCTTCAGGTCACTTATGCCAGGTGTTTCATGGGTCATTTTTATGAGATTAAAGTTTTTCTATTGATAGCTATACCTTTGTATAGCATAGTATACCTGTGCTATCAAAACGAAAACATTGGTTTTCTGAAATGATTTTGGTATAATAAAATATCTTAGAGCACTAAATGGACCGTGAAATGTATTTATCTAGAAATAATTAGTGTTTCAGTAATTGAGTTGTTCAAAGGCATCAGCTCTATTATTCTACATTGCCAAAAACAATTGAAGCAAAATTTGAAATTTCTTAAAATCCAAAGAAAACAACTATGTTTAAAAACTTTTCCTCCCAAATGAAAATAGCCATCAAACTGTTA